CGACATCTGAACGAGCATAGGGACAGGGACGAGCTTAGATACATTTACCTTAGTAATTCTTGGACATTAATTTTCTACCTTTCTTTTCCTGCATTTTGTCATAATAAATAAATACAAACACAGCGAAAAAAACTAAAAAATATATAACCAAGATTTTCTGTAGGCAAACCAAAATCTGTCGACTCTTTTCCATCGAATATCACTCAAAAAATGACACGATAAGGTTGCATAATCCGTAATAGAATAGGCTCAAAATATCAATAGAAATATTCAGCAGATTCTATTGAAGAGGATTACATAGGATTCTTAAAAGTTCCAATAGAAAATCAATAGAATATTTCTTGAAGTCAACGCTAGGTTTTTCTAGTAAATTACTTAACACGTCTGTACAAATACGAATAAAAATGCAGTCTGATAACTGCTTCTGTGTCGGAGTCACGACATCGATTATGAGGTAAAGTGCTGTTTCCGTGGGTTGTACGATACGATAATACGAAGGCCTAATGTGAAACTCCTTATCGCTGATTAAACGTCCATGCGAAAGAGGGAATGGTAGAACAGATTTTCAAGCCTTCATCACAAATGTACAACTACATTACACTACTTGTAAATACAAACTTGGAAAGCAAACGAATGCCTCATTGGACACACCAATTAGTCAGCTTAGAGTAAAATCATCAACAGCGTCATCATTACTGGGATTAATGATTCAATTAATGATAAGAGGAAAACGATAAACTACCGCCACTCAAACTTCAAACTTAAAAATTCGAAACTCAAGGAAAGATTCATGGATGTGTTATTGTAAAGATTGTGCTTGATTTCGGAGTAATTGATGATTCCGATGGATGATAACGAAAGAGCATTAATAGACGGAAATTAGAAATGAAAATGTGGAGTATTAGATTAAAACATTTCCACGAAAGATCCCGATGAAGACTCATGAAGACGCATTCAAGGATCGTGAATTGTTCGATTTGCTCTGAGAATCCATGTTTATTCTTCTCAATTTTTAACGGAGTTCGAACTGAAAAATTCCCAAGTTGAAATTTAGATGAGAAGCGCCGAAGCGCTGATACGAACATGAATGGATCCACTTGTAATTCCCCTGCTGTGTTCATAATCCGAACAGAAATATAAATAGAATATGCCATTTAGTGTGAGCATAGAACGGAGCAATTAGAATTCTCAAAAAGATGAAAACCGACTTGAAAACGGCATTTTAAATATTCCCATTCACATTCCAGCACGACCATCTGAAAACCTAAAAAAAATTGAATCTATTTTCAGCAACTTCAGACTTCATCCGAGAAATTGAAATTTTACGATCCGTTTCCAATGAACTTTGATGCCTTCAATGTCGCATAACAGAATTCGCTTTACCTTCAATAATGAGACATAAATTGAGGTCTCGCCCAGCCTATTAATAAAGTAGAACGTTCAAACTGGGATGATTTTGTTGCATAATTCCATTTGACACAGGCATTCGTTTTCTCTATCAAGAAGTTGGTTGTTTCTACAAAAGGTTGTCGTTTTTTTTATTAGTCTAAATACTGGTAATACATTGATACCGCGGGAGAGTTAGTTGTATCTGCAAAGACAGATCACCTAACCACAATTTTATTTTAATGAACAAATCTAAGTGTTATAAGGAATGGTTTTTTTTGTTAATCAATTGAGTTGGCAGAGACTGTTTAATTACATCGATGTTCAGATGCATCGTGTGCAGTTCGGAGTAAATTAGTGATTGAAGTAGATGCCCTATTGTGATCAGAACATAAGCGTGATGAATAATGTTTTATCAACGTTTTGTTGAGTGAAAAGGAAGTGTCGAGTTAAGGAGAGGTTCACCTCGGAAAACAAACTTTTTTGCCCGAGTCGAATAATTGGACCTGACAAGTTCTACTTAGGTCTTTCCATTCAGAACTGGATAGGTCTTGGGAAGCCTCTTCCCAAGGGCTTCCGAGACCTTTCTACCTCTGATTATGTCCTATTTCAGCACTTGTTAGGTGTAAGCAGGACTTGTATTCAGACTTTCCAAATCCTTGCCGGTCCCCGTAATTCTATGGGCCTATATTAAATCTGCGTTCATATCCCTGTTTACTCATGTGTTATTGAAATAAAAAATGCAATTATTGTTTTTTTTTTAATCTCAAAAATCGACATTTCACGAGAGGGTGGAGGGGAGATACATGTATGTGGAGCCTTGACATTTTTACCCAACAAGGGGAGAAGGTTGCAGAATCTATTCTAGCCACTCTTGTCCCTACGCTTGCATGCATTATCCAAATAAAAAATGTAAGTGTTAACAAATCTGACCATTGTTCCAAGTAAAAACCGAAAATCTGACCCTGTGGCCCCCGGTGAAAAATTTTTTTTTTCAGTTTTCACTTTTTCCACATACTTTTGAGAGTTCTGAAT